TCTCACACACACACACACACACACACACACACACACACACACACACACACACACACACACACACACACACACACACACAGTGTGATCGGACAAGTGTGTAAACTCAGTCTGGGTAAAAACAACAGACTTTATAAACTTAGTAAATGTATGTAGTGCCGGTGGAGATGGCGTTGCGCTCCATTTTGTGTGACGGGGTTGGCGCAGCGCACAGCACGGATGAAGTAGACACAAAAGTGGTGCAGTATGACATAGCCGCTAAAAACAGCTTTTACTTACTTGTCCAAACATGTAGGAAATTTTAAATCAACACTATAGGTGGACTTAGTGGAGCTGTGCATGGTTCCCTGGTGCCTGCCCCAGACTAGCAACATTATCGCATATTGCATGTCTTCCTAATATTGTGCAGCCCCAATATATACTAATTCTTTTTAATTATGGTTAAGTGGATGGAGATCCAAGTTCTTTGACTGTTGAACAAGAGGATAGAAACCCAACTAACACCACTGTTATAACTGCCTACCTACATATCAGCTGGTGTGTTGACTCAGTGAGTCAGTGAATCAGTTAATGTTGGTGTTAATATATGTTATGTGTGGAGTGTATATTTTGAGTTTTCGTTACTCTGAAAATCTGTTCTTAGCTTCACTTTTCATCCTTCACGGTGGATAATTTTGCAAAAATAAAAACTTGGCTAACTGATGGGCAGGCTTTGCTTTTTCATGCAATACAGAGTTTTGACAGGCAGTGTGAGTAGTCCTGGGTTTCTGTCTAATTAGATCAATGTTGCAACATGGTGGTACGGTGGCTAGCACAATTATGTTCATAGGAGACTCTAATTGGACTGTAGTTGTGAATGTGAGTGTGAATAGTTGTTTGTCTCTGTATGTTGGCCCTGTGATATGCTGGTAACCTATCCAAGGTGTACCCCGCCCTCTCATCCAATGTCAGCTGAGATTGGCTAAGGATAAGTGCTATGGATAACGGATGGATGGATTAATGGTCAATATGCAAAATTAAGTAGTAATTAGTAGAGGTGCAATCATTCACCAAATCAATGGTTTGATTCATACCATTCGGGATCTGTTTCAGAATCGTTTATTAGCTTTTTAAAATGCATATTACCCTTGTCATGGTTTCATTTTCTTCCTTGGCTCAGTTTCTGTTTGCTTCTGTCCTACTCTGGCATATACAGCATTTTATTACAGCTGAACTTCTGAATTATTTGCATTTCCCCACAGATGTGTAAATTAGCAACACTACCCATACATACTCTGTGATGTCGCAATAGAAGACTTCAGGTCAATCAAAAAAAAAAAAGGGTGAGAAGTCAGAAGGAAACTGAAGAGAGAAAGGAACTGTGCAGCCTGGGGTCTGGCAGGTGTGAGCAGATTCTGCCACCCTCCCTCAAAAGCAGAACAAGACAGCAGCATAATTGATCACTTCCCCTTCTGTGGTTGAAGTGGTGTGAATGTGCAGCAGAGGACCAGTTACTTTGACACATGTCCCTGAAGTCTGTTGTCACTCCACCAGCCAGGATCAGACTCATTATAAATGTTAAAATGTTTAGAGTAAGAGACAGAGGATCTTGGATTTATTTATAAGTGAAGCTAAATGTTAAACTGTCAGACCACTTCGGAGGTCGAGCCGTCTGTTCAACTGTTTTATTGTTGTTGTGATTTTAGCACTCTGTGACATGTCCTCCTCTCAGCAAACACTCTCCTATCTCTGCATTTCTCAGTTTATATATAAGGTGGGGAAGGAGGCAGAATGATAAGGATGGGTTTGATGATTGATAAAAAAGTCCATTCTCCAACATAAATGACCTGAAACGACCTCAACTATACAAAAAAGCATCTTGACAGCCTGCTGCAGCCTGTCAAGATGCTTAAAATGTCAGCAGATAAGAATCAGATGGTAACCAGGCCATTGTGACTCATCAGGACTCCTCTGAAACTCAAATGACCTGATGGCCGGAAAAATTGCTGTTGTAAAATACATTTAACTTGATTACAGTTTGTATTGCCCTTGTCAAAACAGACTGCTGACCAATAGATTAATTATACAGCAACACACAACGCTCCACTTTGTACTACACATCAGAGTTTTACCTCATTTTCTGGCTCGTGATCAGAATTTTCGATCCTTGAATTCTCATGACCAGAAAGAATTGTCATCTTGTCGCGTGAACGTCAGAAGTATTGACCTTTTGTACTCTCTGTACTACTGTCTGAGTATGAAGGAAAATCTGGATCAAGTGAATAGAAATTATGTTAGGCCACTTTTGTAGAGTGAGATTGTCCTGTCTTTTTTGATTATAATGCGTGTCTTTTTGGGACATAAAAAAGTGAGACCACTTTACCTTTCACTCCAGTTCACTTTGTATGTGTTGATGATAAAATATGTGACTGTGCTCTTCTAACCCACAAGGGTCTATTCTGGGTCTAATCTTATTCTCCCACGACTTGCTTCCTTTAGGACTCATCATACTTGACTCTGGATGTGTTTCCTAACACTGTTACGCTGATGATGTCCAGCTTTATGAATTTGTGAAACCTGTCCGATCTGTCTAGATTTATTATTTATCGTTTCAACAGCTAGAACCCATCATTCACCTCATTCAATCCAAGGTGCTGTCGTATGGTTAAAATGAGTTCATCCTGGTTGCTGCTTGTTAAGTTTAGTCTTAGATTCAACATTCAACTCCAAATGACTTTAAAGGCCTTTAATGTAGGGTTGCTAAATTGTTTCTGAAACACTTTTAATATTTGTTTAAATCCTCACGTTCGGTGGGCATCAATAAATAAAGTCATCTGGAAAAACATCCTGTGACTGTTGCCCTCATAGGATTGTAAATAAAGTCAACCAATCATTAATTTGATCCATTTGCTGGTGTGTCTGTCATTAACCGACCTGCCTGCCTGCGTGCACCCTGCCCGTGTTGCACAAGACCCCCCGCAGAGACATCCACCGCTAAAGATCAGTGCTTGGCACACACTCATGTGTTTTGGGGTGTAGCTTTGATGAGTGGGATGTAATGGTTGCATTTTTTCACAGTGTAACCTGCTGTTGTTAGCTTTTCCAGGATTACCAACCCCAGCTTTAATGTGTAAAAAGAACCTATACGTCCCCCTCCGTGCAGGCGCACCAAGCAACCCTGGACATGATTCCTCATCGACCTCCCACCCACAAACTTTGTCTATGTCTATTTCTTTTCCACGATTACCAACCTGACTTTTAAACAACTTGGTGCCGGCATACTGTACATTAGTACTGTATAGATCCACTGGGCATCTCAGGTCCTCATAACAAGAGCTTTTTATTGTGCTGCACTTGAAGCTTAGGACCTGATGTGACTGTCCAGTCCCCCAGATTATGGATCAGTGAATGTTAAATTGAAGTTTGAATAGAGAATTTAAAAAAACTTGGTAAAGAAATTGCTGTTAAAGTAAAAACATTTTTGCTTTCCTCCCATGTTACTAAAAACCTGCAGGTCCTTGTTCCGTGCTGTGGAAGTTTGACTGTCGGCAGCTACTCAGACTCTCAGTTTGACAACTATGTCCTGCAGTCTGTGGAGGACAGATACCAGACTGTGGATGGAAAGGTTTGTCTCCCTTCTGCTCCAAGCTTCTCCCCCACGAGTTCAAAAAATTATATTCTTTTCAATTTAATTTGATTCAATTTGTATTTGTATAGCACCAAATCAAAACATACATTATCTAATATTATATTATTAGTGAATGTGTTATGATACATTATTGGCTTTCATTTCTATTATAAAGAGCTGGTAATTTGCCACAATAGATAGTATAGCAACAGTAAAATTAAAGAGGGATGAAGTAGAGGGGAAGTCAGTACACAAACACCAATGAAACCGGAAGTGATATAATATGCACCACAGAACAACAGCAACAACAGGTGAACAGCAGTCTGAAGGAACTTTTTAGTTTCTTCTGAAGTAGTTCCTCGGACTAAGAATTGTTGGTATTTCTTTTTGTTTGAATGCAGTTTTTATAAACCTGTTCTATTACTTTAGGTGGTTCTAATCCAGTTTTCTGTGTCTCAGAAACATTTCTAAAATTAGAATTATGGATTAAACCAAACACGTGTAACATATTCAGGCCATCATAAACTTTTAAATGGACTACTGTAACTTCCTGCTCTCTGTATGGCAACTCTCAATTTAGCGCCAACGCATAACTTGGTAGGAACAAAGTTTATTATTGTTATAGTCTTGGCTCATTTAATGCCCAGATTAAAGACAGGAGGTTCTCATTGGCTGCACCAAATTCAAGATTAAAAGGAGGAGAATTCAATTGACTATTGCAAAATCAAATTTTGAAATAAGACATTTGAACTTTGCATTCAACCATCTGAATGAAAGTCATCAGAATGCAATTACATTCAGTTAGGAGTGTCAGGACAGTAAAATAAAATACAAAAATAGAAAGGGATAGCCGAAGAAGGGTGATATGAAAGGCATGGAATTAAACAAATGAAAAAAAATTTCATGATACAAGTTAATGTTTAAAAATCTATTTATACATTCAAGGTTCTGTGTGTCAGGTCATCTTCATAGTGTGAAAAGTGCCTGCAATGTAAAGATTTTCCCAGACATTTTTTAAGAATTCAACATTGAATCATAGATTCTGATTTGATACTTATACTCATATTCCTCTAATTTGATAGTAGTGTCACTTTACTGAAAGTTATTTAAACTCAAATATCTGTCTTCAAAATCCAAAACTGCACTGAGCTGTTTCTGTTGTTGTGTATTTCAGGAGGTCAGAATCCAGGACAGACAGGTCCTGCTGGGATCCGGCTTTCCTGCTCCGGCATCGGTGTCCATCCTTTTTGAGGAAACCTTTTACAATGACCAAGAGCAGAGCTACAGCATCCTGTGCATCTCCCGGCCTGTGGAGGTGGACACCAGCCCCAACGAGCTCAGCCCTCCACCACCCTACTGCCTGAAGAGCGTGGAGGATGTCAGGGAGTTCCTGGGCCGCCACGCCCAGAAACTGGACAAGTTCATCCATGGCTTCTGTCAGGCCTTCAAGGAGCAGGAGAGGAAGGGACTCCGACACCACATAGTATGATGAACTCTTTCATTTCCTTTCATTCCCATCACGTCTTCCTTCGTTCCGCCATCTACATTTTGTTCTCCCCACACACACTCTTTTCTTTTTACTTTTCTGTTCTCTTAGATTGTCTTTCCTTCTAATCTGTTTGCCACTTCCTTTCTTCTTCCTCACCTCTTATCTTCTTTCTAGTATGTCCCTCTGTCTGCATTCCATCATCCACCCTTCTTAATGTTGTTTATGGTCTTTTTAATCAAGGCAATTCTCTACAAAAATATTAAAAATAAACAAAAAAATAGATGTATAAGTTGGTGGTAGGTATAAAGGTGTGAAATAAAATTTTAGAATGAGTCTAGCTAAGTATTGCTCCTATGGACCTAAAGTAAACACAGAAAATTGATTTGTGGAGAAACTGTGTTTTTGCTTTTATTTCTTTTAAAATAAACCAAACAATCAAAGGGTTTACGTTTGGCTTTTTAATAGCAGTGATTATAATTACATTTTTAGACGATGAAAGGTTGTGAGAGCTTTTCTGCTCTACTGACAGATCTCCCATCTTCTCTTCACTCAGGACTCAGTGAACGGTCTCTACACTAAATGTCTTCAGTGTCTGCTGAGAGACTCTCGCCTGGTGAGTAAAAAAACTTGTTGGATCAGCTCTTAGTCTGATACAGTGGAGGCTGATAGAGATAATGGAAGAGTGTTTAGCGAGACTGTTTCCTAGTTCAGGTGCACGGTACCTGGAAACTTGAATTTTGACCCTGGAAATGACATTATTGGTCAACAAGGCAAATGCAGGCTTCCTCTGCAAGGCTCACTATCTCGTACCTATTTGCACTGGTCAGTTGTTTAAAGGATCGTTGTCATCCACAACAACTTGGAAGATTGACAGTTAATTTTTTCCACTCAGTCGCTGTTCTGTTCTTCTTGGAGGGCTTAGTTCATGTCATGAACAAGACGTGAATAAAAACACGTTTACAGACTTACAGGATAGTTCTGGTATTTTTAAAACCACATTTTCCCATCTTTGGGATATGAATAATAGGGATAAAATAGTTTGGAATTAGTCCATTAATGAGTCATACCAGCAACTCCTCAAATTACTGTTTTTGTCAATGTAGTGTGGTGGTTTTGAACATAGCGATATAACTGTTTATGGTCAAATTATAAGATTTTCTAAGGGTTTATCTCTGCAGGAAATCTTTCCATAATAGTGTCACTAACAATTTAACCTGTCAGTGGCTTAACCGTCACTTTTAGTGGACAAATGCCCCTTTAAATAACACTGCAGCTGTTTCATGGTGGACAGTTACAGAATTCACCCTCTATGGCCCAGGTTTAAAACTATTATGACCGTTCTTTAAGTCTGTAAATGTCCACACAACCATGTTTTATAAACCATTTTTTCAAAGAAGTTGAGGTATCACAATAAGTTAACTGATAAAAGGCCGTTGCAGGATATAAATGATGGAAGCAGGACGGAAACGTCTCTGTCTGAACATGTGTATCATCACAGGTTATCACAAATAAATGCAAGTTACATTGACTAATTTATCAACATAATTATCATCACATATAACTAGTCACACACTTGGCCAGTGCTCTATGATCTTCTGCACTTTACAGTTTCAAGTTTCAAAATCTTAAATGTAAGCTCGGATGTTATAAAAATTGTCCCTGTGAATTTACATCTTTAACTTTCAAACATGTTGATATGAAGAATGCTACGGTCTGACCTCAGGAGTCTCTAAAAGGTGTGTTCAGTACGACCCGTGTCCTCTGAATAATCTGTCTCCGCAACCGAGACTATACAGTACATCATCAGAATGCATGTTAATCAGTAACGACTCCACGGGACATTAAGAATGTTTTGTTAGACCCTCTGAAGTCTAACAAGATCATCTGTGACATAACTGTTTTTCAACCAGCCCCACATTCGCCTCTGGCCAATTTTCTGCCTAATCATGCTCATACGAGAAGCTGCAAAACATGCTCTGCATTTCTCTGCGTTGACTGCTCTGATGGATGATGTTTCTCCACAGAAACTTCTGACGAAGCAGGAGGTTCAGATGACTCTTCTCAAACAGGCAGTGGAGGTAACTTCACTTGTTGTTTCTAAGTCCACTTCACTCACTAGTTTCGGCTGAGAAGTATGTGTTTAGGGGTTCAAGTTTGTTTTTAAAACGCATTTAATGAGCAGACAGCTGAGCTCATCCACAGACCACAAAATGGTTACATGTAGTTCAAAGTGAAAGTCCTTATTCTGAGTCTACAAGGTAGTAGGCGGTGTACTGTATGTTACATCTGTGAAAGTTTTGATTCTTTTTAACGGCTCTTTGGTACCAACAAAGGAAACTACATATTTTTGTCGCCGTCCCCAAATCTGCAATGCCGGAGTCACTTGATTCTCATCACCAGGACTATGAGGCCTTGCTTTAACTGGGGTAACTGATGCTGCCCACTTATCATCTACCAGACCACAATTAATGTGAGGTAGACAGTCCAAGTGGGTTGTTTTTGCCAGAGCCTAACGTCAAATTACCACTTACCCCACACGTGACCGGTGAGAAGCAGCCAGTCGGACAGGAATGGAGCCAAAAGATCCAATTCCCTTCAAAGTGCCGTAATCCCCATCACTATAAAGTAGTGTTCACAGCCTCCGAAGGTCAACCTGACTGATCCCGCTAACTCATATATAACTTGAGTGATGCTCAGTATGCCACACAATCATGCACATGATTGTATAATTCTTAAAGTAGAAATATAAAAGAGAAATACAATAAAAATTTAAGTTTTTCCCAGGCCTTCTATATGATCCCACTTTTTTATTACTCAGTCCAGTAAAATTTTTATCTTTCTTTTCAAGTTCCAATAAGACATCCGTGTTGTGCTCTGTGTCCTGCTTAGACAAAGTAATCGAATCAAGTTTAGTTAAACTGATGTTTGCTCAGGGTTGTGTCTAACACCACTTTGCTTGTCTTGTAAACCAAAATGTTCTTTGTCATTTTCCTCCTCCTTTTCCCCAGATGTATGTCCATCATGGTATCCATGATTTAATGTTCAACTTTGTGGGAACTCTTGAAGCCAGCCAGGTAGGTCTGAACTCTCACTGCTTCACCACACCTTCAACATTCTGTAAAATACAAATATTTGCTTGACAAATGAATGGTCCAGTGTGTAAGATTTAGGTGAAAGGGATTTTTTGGCACACATTTAATATAAAATAATCCTAGTAATGTTTTCATTAGTGTTTATCTAAATTGTTGTTTTCTTTACCCTAGAATGAGCCATTTATATTTACATCGGGAGCGGATCCTCACTATGGAGGCTGCCATGTTTTTTTATAGCCCAGACTGGACAAACTAAACACAATTTTGAGTTTTAAAACAACTGAAGCTACAACAGGTTCTTTTTCATGTTTGGGAGGGGAGGGGTGTTCAGCTGCAACATGCAACTTCACCACTAGGTTAAATCTTGAGGGTAAGCTAAATCATACACGCTGAAGAACAGACTTATATTATAATATGCAGGTTATAGTTTTACTGCATTAAAGCTCTAGCAAAGCAAAAATACTCTTGTTGATCATGTTCACAACACCTCTGTCTTTGTTTTTCCTTGGCACCTGTGAGCACTCCAGAGAGGCTTTAGAGCATTTTGTAAAATGTTGATGTCCGTTAAACACATGATGTCAGTCCCCCAAAATCAAAGGGTGATGGTGTCATTGTTTAGTGTTTCTATTTTCAACCATGGAGCAGACGGAAATTCATCAGCAAAGAAGAAACGCAAGCCCTTTTTACATTGCCCGTTCAAGGAAGGAATGTTGCAGGAGGTAGATACAGACATGAATCAATGTCTGTGTAATTGTGGCAACTGTCATGGTGGGACAGGACTGAAGCTGTTGTGTTCCACATCTCAGCTTCTGGAACGCTGGAATGTGTCCTAAATTGGAAAGTGGAAGCATTGTTTGGTTCAGTGTAAAACAAGAATGGCGGAAAGGTACAGCGTCAGTAAAGTTGGAATTGTAACAGACAATTTTGAAAAATGGTACTCAAGGCAAAGATTTTCTGTTTACTAGTCGATTTATTTGTTCCAACCCTCACCTATGGTTACAAGCTCTGGGTAGTGACCTAAAGAGTGAGATTGTAGATACAAGCGGCTGAAATAAGCTTTCTAGGATGTCTGGAGGGAGCTCGGAGTTTAGACAGTGCTCTTTTGTGTGGAAAAGGGCCAGTTAAGGTGGTTCAGGGATCATATCAGGATACCTCTCGGTTGCCCTCCATTGGAGGTTTTCCAGGCACATCCAACTGGGAGGACAACATGGGTTAGACCCAGAAGTCATTTGAGGGACTGAATATTCCATCTGCCAAGGGAACAGCTCAGGATCTCTAACAGAACTGTTCTCATGTTTGTTCTGCTGCTCATCAACAGGATGCTGCCTTCAACAAAACCACCAGGAGTCTGCAAGAGCTGCAGCAGAAAGAGCTGGGAGTCAAACCTGAGTTCAGGTCAGTTCAACACGTTGCAGCTGCAACACATCTAAGTGTGCAGCAGGAGCAGTGAATGCGTGCGTGCTTGCATTCACAGATCCCCAGACAGTTGTGCATCAGCCAAACAACAGTGCAGCCAGCCACTGGGTCATTCTGTGTCAACCTAATGCTTCTAGCCCTATATTAGTTTAGACATTTCAGGGCAGGTTTTAGAGTCAATGGGCAGAAATGGCAATGTTTGGAAATATAGACTCATACAACAGCCTGCTGAGAACAACTGGCGTCAGCCTTGGCTACCAGTGTAACACGACATGGACAATTAATAACAAGCGTAACCGACCTTGTTGTCTTTACTCACAGCTGTAGTGCCATAAGACTGTTTACGTGTGAAGGAGACAAGCAATTATTCGAGTAATCTACTACAATTCTGCAACTTGCATCCAAATACTCCCTGTGCACACTGGCAAGTGTCTAGTGAACTTGATTGGTCACTTAAAAAACATTTTCAGGGGAGTTTGTATGAACAGGGATTAAAACTGATATAGGGCCAAAACACTTGTGGGGACAGAGATCGTTTAAGTTAAAAGGATGTTTTCAAACACATGTAATATTACTGTTGTAGCCTTAATGTGGCTTTCCTGAATCCCCAAAGTTTCTTTAACAGGTAAATTAACATGTTTTTCCCTCTCTGCTGGTTCATGTTTTAAGCTGTTCTCTGCCACTGCCGTAACCTGTGCTCCTCTTGTGTTCCTGTAGTATAAACCTGTCCCGGGCAAAGAGAGAGCTGAGTCAGCTCAACCAGCAGACCTCTCCACTCCTCAAACTGCTGTGCCTGCGCAGAGTCACTTTGACTGCAACCCTGACACCCAGACACACAGGTACACAGTGTGGGTGTGTTTGTGTGTCAATCAATCAAAGGTTTTTATTTATCAAATTTTAGAAAAACTTCATTGATTGATATTTGGTTTCCACAAAGAATTAAACTTGATCAGATGCAAAACGGATGTTTTTTGTTCAGACTCGTGTTCACATCAAGAGCTCACATGGATCACAAATGTAAGAATATGTAATCACAGTTCATGTTTGAGAAACTGCAGCACTAGGTTTAATTGACAGGTAGGATTTTAGGCAGTCTTCAGTTAGAGGAGCCAAACATGATCACATACATCTCTCTTACATCCTGTTCTGCCCCGTTTCCGCTCTCGGTTTCTTTCCTGTTTTTTTTCTCTCCACTGTTGCCAGATGTTTGCTCATTGTAAAAGCTTTGTCTTTAATATTGTAAGGTCTCAACCTCACTCTGTAAAGTGCTTGAGATAATGTATAATGTGTTTTGGCGCTATACAAATTAAACTGAATTGAATTTCCTAAAAACAACTTTAGATCTTAAAATGTAATATCACTTTGAATTTGTTCCCTCAAACTAAATTACATTTATTTCTAGTAGCCTGAAAGAGAGACTCCTCTGCTTCATCTTATCTCCATCGTATCTACGGTTATTAGGACAGATTTATTTAATTACGACTATCAACTTTTCCCTGTAATCAAAGATTAATATTTGGTAAGATCAATATGTCGGCTGGTCTTCTCTCTGCACAGGCCTACTGAACTCCTGCCTCGTCTGTGAGTCTCCGCTCACTGTCTGTAATCAGATCAGCACATGGGACAGTGCATGCTCTGTCAGACTCTAATGTGTTTGTCCAGTTTGCTTTGGAAATCCAAGCTTATTGGCCCACAACAACCCCACTGTCATTCTGCAGCATGGTACGATCCACTCCTAATTAATGTTTGTCAAATGGCCAATTTAGTCATTTGGCCTGGACAGAGGAGACAGAGAAGCTCACAGGCAGCGTGAGGATGACACGGCAGGATGAATGGAGGGAGAATAAAGTGTAAAATGACTCTTTAGCTTTTAGCGTTTCCCCTGACAGAATGTGTGTCTTCCTCCTGCAGTCAGCATTGAGGCCGTAAGTGCAGACGACCTGCTCTCTGTCATCCTCTACCTGCTGGTGAAGACGGAAATCCCCAACTGGTGAGCTGTGAGCTGTGAGGAGGAGTCACTGTGACACCTTTGGCCTTGTGCCTGGTTTTGCTGAAAAATACATAGATTTATGGGAGGTTCAACTGTCCTGTGGAGGGAAACTGAAATAAGAAAAATAGAAATTATTTACCAGTGGTCCAGGGTTGTGAGAGACCAAGGAGGGGTTGCAAGATGATTTCCACAAGTTTGCTAAAATTTATAAACAAGTAGAAATAGCACATTTCAGCCATTACTGCAACAAACAGTGTGTGTGATAGTTAGTAGTGACAGCACAAGATGAAGCAGATCAATTTACCAGTAGCTTTGTATATTAACTTGTTATTTTTTTGTTTGCAGGATGGCCAACCTGAGCTACATCAGAAACTTCTGCTTCAGCCACTCCAGTAAAGATGAGCTCAGCTACTGTCTGAGCACCTTTGAGGCTGCAGTGGAGTACATCAACCTGGGGAAGCTGCAGGACACACGCTCTGTATGACACACACAGACACAGTTGCAATCTATCATCAGTGATGTATTTCAGCAGTATTTCATGTTAAAGATGCTTTGGTTCTGTTCCTCCAGGGTTCAGGTGAACTGAACGACAAGGCGTTGTTCAAAGAAAGGATGAGGTCGTTGTCTCAGAGCACCACCACACCCATCCACTGTCTGTTTGAGGTAAGCTGCACGAAACTGCACCACCACTCTGTACTCAGCAGCTACAGCGTCCCACCAGACACTTAGCGGTTAAATTAACAATGTGTTCAGTCCGTCTCAACCTCCTAGAATTGCTTTCTATAGGATTACCAAGGTGATTAGATCATTTACGGGTCACAGTCGGAGCCCCAATTTACAGTAGCAAGGAAATGATATTGTATTAACTGATTTTCTGTGTGTGTGTGTGTGTGATGTAGCACATAGCAAATGGAAATGAGGCTGAGGTTGAACGTCTGCTGAGTGAAGGAGAGAGCGACGAGGACGTTAGGATGTGTCACCCCCTCTGTTCCTGTGACCTCTGTGACCTCCAGCTCTCCGGGTCAGCATCCCGACACACTGCACATCCGTCATGACTAAACGCTCTTCGCCAGACACAAACCAAATCCAAGTTCTAGTGAACCCCACCCCAAATGTCATCACATGGTTTAAAAGTGAAAGTGGCATGACAGCAGTAATAGCCCTCCCCCTACACAACATGTTTTCCAGTAAAGCTTCCAACTTGTTTTTCTATTTCCTCTTCTTTGTTGCATCAGAGTAGAGATTTCACTTCCCTCTTCAACACACACACACACACACACACACACACACACACACACACACACACACACACACACACACACTTCATAGTATCAGGATCATTTAGCTTAAAAACTACATAAGCTGTATGTATTATTTTGGCATTAAAAGATCATTCATGACATTCACACCAGCGCCAGCATATTACCTGTGGCTGTAAACTGTTAAAAATCATCTACAGATTAATAGATGTGAGGTACGTTTGAAAAAATCTGTCACCAGAACCTTAACAACAATAGATTATTTGTTAGAGATCAGGGGTCTCATTTATCACGGTATAATTCGGTTAAATTCTATATATTGAGGACATCACAACTGTAGAGGGCGGGGTCTGAGGCAGCTCCAGGTACAAAAGTTTCCAGGTGGACTGTGATTTATAAAGTGAACATTGTGTTCAGGTGTGCGTGTGCGCACGGATTTAGAAATCAGATTTTTCTTTTGCGTACACCACTTCCGGCTTTTGTGTGCACGGACACTTTTAGTATGAATCCTACGCACTGTTTTATAAATGAGACCCCAGATCTTCATTTGTTTCACTGAGCACCCATGACTATAACTGAGATCAGTCAGTGTCTTGCCTTTGACTTTTGTGAGTTACTGTAACTGACTCTGGCTTTTGGCATCCGGTTGCAGGCGACTGAATGACCCGTCCATAATCACGCCGTTTTCCAGAGATGATCGAGGTTACACCCCACTGCACGCCGCAGCTATCTGTGGTGAGCAGCTGCTAACACACAGAGGGATAAAAACATGAGCTTCTTTAACATTGAGAGCCCGAATGTACATGAAAACTGTTGAACTAACTTCACTTTATCTGTGTGTGCATGTGTGCAACAGGTCAGGCTCAGCTAATCGACCTGCTGGTGTTTAAAGGAGCGACAGTCAATGCCACAGACTACCACGCCCTCACACCGCTGCACCTGGCCTGCCAACGGGGATACCAGGGAGTCACGGTGAATACACTCACACGCAAACCTACAGTACACTGTGTGAATGTGTGTGTGTGTGTGTGTGGGTACTCATACTTATAAAAAAATTTATACTCATACCGGTTGTTAGCGTAGACATTAGAGTGAGGGCATTTTTGGAAAGTGAGGACATTTTGGCTGGTCCTCACGTTTTCAAAGGTTTGTTTGATGGTTAAGACTTTTTAAAGTTAAGCGTTATAGTTAGGTTTAGGTTAGAGTTGGGGTAAGAGTTAGGGGTCAGTCATTTAGGTGTGATGGTTAAGGTAAGGCGCTGGCAAATGCATTATCCCTGCTAGTGTCCTCACTAAGATAGAAGTACAAGAATGAATGCGTGTGTATATAGATAAGACAACATGAATGAAGATATCTACATCAGTAAAGAGCAGAGTGTTATACTATATAATACTAATAAAAGGGGAAATTATCATCAGACATAAAATAAAATAAGATATAAACAGTATCACAAAGATTTCAAAGAATAATGGAAGATACAAACAGGCAGAAATGGAATATGACAGGAAACAGGAAAAACAAAACTTATGGTGCAGCTACAGTGCAGAGTGCGATGTGAATAAATGAGACAAGATAAGAGTTAATTGATGTCTGGGGAAATTAACTGTCACAGCAGCACCTGAAGAAACAGGCCATCTACATTCGATACAAAACGATAAAACCCTGCACTAAAAATGGGAAACTGTAAAACAACCCAGCGATTAAAGATGAAATGAAAATGTATTCACATACCACATGTAAACAGTAAGTACATTTGAAGTCTACCTCGGATTGTTACAATATAATGGCTGATAATCAAAATATCTCTATTCAGTGAATGAATGGGATTTTTACTTCAGAAACCAGGCTGTTGAGATCTATCGGTGGAGCAGTCTGTCAGAGATGTGGGACAACGCTGCAGAAAGTCACATTATCCCAAGCTTTAGTAAACTCAACTCTCGAACAACACAGAAGGTGTGCATGTGGACAAAACAAACTGATGCACTGGGGGAACAGTGATAGATGTGAAACTCTGAAAATTTGTTGGACAAACACTTGACAGAAAAAAAGCGCTGCAGCTTTTAAGAGGGAAAACTCAAATACAAAAGAACACATGATAGTAAGAAGGTGCTGACTGTACGTGTGTTTTTAAGGTGTTTAGACATTAACAACACATAGACATCCAGGACGTTCTCTGCATGGGATCCATCTGCTGCTGTGAACCAGGCCTCCCAAAAATATCACCACTAATAATGAAGAATTGTTGATTTGGAGAAATGGTAACAAATTGTGGATATTCATCACTTCATAGTTTAACATGGAAATGGTGCACTCATAGGGGTGATGCTCATCCTGCAGGGGCTCGTATACACTCAGATCAGGTGCTGCTGCTGCACAAACACATATCCGTCACAATCAGACCGACCAACGACAGCACCACGAGAGGTCCTGACGTGGTCAGGCAGAATTGAGTTTACACTCAGTAGATACCGCTTTTGCTGTGCATGTTCACATGACAAGCACAAAGCTCTCAGCAGGCAGAGGGACCTCAGCTTAACACCAGCCCTGCTCTGTAAGAGTGTGTTGTTCCCCTGAGACTGATCAGCTCCTAAAGTTAATCATCTGGAGGTACCCTGCATACTGATAGAGCAGTTTATAAAAAAAAAAACATCACTGCAGCCGTACGTTTGCCAACAATCAGCTTGACTCTCTAGATCATCAGCAAAAATGTTTTCTGGACCGATGAAACAAATTGTTTGCGAAGATCAGCCCCACGCTATAAAAAGGAAACAGCAAATAAACACGACGTCATCCCAACAGTGTCTCTTACAGGATAATGTCATGGTGTTTGTCTGCATCTAATCATTCGTAGAAGCAGCTGATAAAGCGGCACAATGATTCAAAACATGGAAGTATATCTGCTTCAGAATGAATTCAGAGAAAACCAGAGTTGTGTGTCTGAACCCGACAGATGATGTGGAGCTCAGGGAGTTGATCACATGTCTGAGCTGAAGCAGCTCTGTGGGAACAATGATCCAAAACCTTTCCAGAACTTTGAGCAGCTCTGGAGTTTTTTTTTTTTACCTTATTCCTTTATATTGTGTTCCTTCCTTTATTCAAGAGTGTGGTCTTTCAGGTTAACAACAGGACTTATTCACATCCAGCTTTTGCAATGCTCAGACCCAAATATACCCTGCTTGTGCTTAGATTTCCTGTGCTTCAGCTTCAGCTCTTCTCCTTGCGCTTAAGATGCTTCTGTGCGTATGTGTTAGAAGTCGAACAGAGCCCAGTTCTGTGGGATTGTATAACTATATAATAAGATGATAGAATATACAGCGATGGACCACAATGTTATAGTTCAACATTATACAGTAATAATGTTGTGAGTGTCCAAACTTAATTTTAATCAAAGTATATTGCAACTGTATTGCTTCATAAACCGTATGTATACAGAGGGAGCTGTGATGAGTCAGTTTGGTCGGAAAACATCTGGTGAAAGAAATGAGGCATCAATACATTTTTTTTTTTAACCTTTTTTGTAACTGTCCATCAACCTGCAGTACTATATCAGTGTGTTGGGAAAGATGAATAAAGATGCACTGGGTCATTAATATTATTGGTACAAAACAAAAAAATACTATTATATAAATATGATCCATGAAAATGACTAACGTACTCTCTGTCCTGTAGCTGCTGCTGCTGCACTACAAGGCCAACACAGATTCTCAGGACAACAACGGAAACACACCGCTGCACCTCGCCTGCATGTACGGACACGAGGACGTAAGTGTAACGCTGAGGATCTGTTACTCACAGCCACTCGTGAAAGTGAACACCAGTAGAGAATTTCCTCACATCTGATAAAACCATTCACTTGTGCTCAAAGATAACCTGATTTGAATTTGGAGGTCAAAGGTCACAGTAACCTCACAAAATTGGTTTAGCCTCATGAACCGTTCATATTAAGAACGCCTCGATAGAATCCTTTTAAAATTTGGCACAAATGTTCATTTGGACAAACAGATTAATTTATTAGATTTGCGTCATCAAAGGTAAAGGTTCAAGGCCCTTTTGAACATGATATCTCGAGTCTGCCTGTAGGCAGTTTCTTCAAATTTGGACTTTGAGTTGTCACTTTGACTCAAAGGCCCAATCCCATTTCACCCCTTCTCCCTACCCCTTGTTTGAGCGTTATCATACCTCTTGAAACAGAGTCACAAGGGTTAGTGGTTGAAATCTTCCCCTACGAATTGGGACTTCAAGAAGCCGTTACATCATCAGTAGCTCTCACGAAAACCCGACACGTCATCAGTACTCATCAACGTAAACAGACGAGACAAAAAGTTTTGCCTTAGATGTCACACTAATAACATTGTTGACATCTCAAATAAACCAATGCTTCATTTTTAGTCTCATTACATCTGAATTTTTTTGTTAACATCAATTTGTAACCTGTTTGTTTCAATATTTTAATTTTATAGATTAAGCGATTCATCAATTCATCACAGTCACTGATCAACATGATCCCTGGTAATGATTGTGATGGTGGTTGTGCTCTGCTTTGTGTGTGTAAAGTGTGTGAAGGCCTTGGTGTACTATGACGTCCAAACGTGCCGCCTGGACCTTCAGAACGATAAAGGTGACACGGCGCTGCACATGGCGGCTCGCTGGGGCTACGAGGGAATCATCCAGGTGCTGCTGGAGAACGGAGCGAGTACCAACATCCACAACAAGAGCAAAGATTCGCCACTGCAGTGTGCACTCAACACCAAGGTCAGCAACACACGGAGAAGAGACCAACCAGATTTACACAGAAATGTTTTGTACGTCCGTTGAATATACATAAACTTTCCAAAGTGTTCAGTTTTGAGCCAAGTAAAGAATTTGCATCTTGCATCTCCCTGAAGTTTTAGCCATGGTCATGTTACATTTCAGAAGTATTGGTTCTCTGGGCTCAAGTTTGTCAAACTTTTACAAAAGTTTCTTTCAGTATTTTAAGCTTTTCCATATTCATCCTCATTCTACTTTCCTATTTACTATATCTGGACATCAGCTCACAGTGTGGCAGGTGAAACAGCCAAATCTCTTGCTTAATCACACCAGGATATTGTTTTTTACTTCTGTTATCCTGATGGCCTGTTTTCTTGGATTTGTTCTACATTTGATTTGAACCTGATTACATTTACACATGGTATTAAGCAGTGACTCCAGTGTCCGCATTGAGATCTGATTGAGATCTGATCACTCGATCCTCCTGCTTCATTATGTAAAGCTGTGTTATCAGGGTTTCCTGCTTTTCAGTTGGTCTCGTCTACTCTCCAATCACATTTGTCCAGAATTACATGCAGACTTCTTACTGGCTTATGGCTGCTAGCTGTGTTAGCCTGTGCAGCTGCTGCCATCTCACATGTGAATATTATTTCTGCTCACGTAGTTGTTATATGAGGATTAACAACTGCACTACACTTGTGTTCAATGTGGTCATTATGTGTCCCTGACCACAGCCAAATAGATCACTGTCTGTCTGAATGTGGTCAAGCTATCTGATTGCTGTCAGATCACCCTAACAAATTTTATTGCGGGTGTAAATAGGGTGTCACAGGAATCTGACCTCAGCTAATCTTATTATTGTTTAAACGCCTTCCTGTCACTAATACGTGTGTGGGTGTGTGTGGGTGTGTGTGGGTGTGTGTGGTGTGTGTGGTGTGTGTGGTGTGTGTGTGTGTGTGCCTGTAGATCCTCACTTTGTTGCAGTCACGTCAGAACGGCCGTCAGCGCAGAGGCAGCCGAATTGATGTGAGTGTGATCTACTCGCGTGTCTTCATCAAGAGACATGTAAACCTGAGAGGTCCGGGCTTCACAGACTCCAAACTTGATAAGCAACAAATAACGACACTGAAAATCATCTGACCAGTGCCAGAGAGAGAGAAAAAAAAAATTGCAATCCATTTTTGATTCAGTCTAGAATGAGACTAGACATTTACAAACATTTTTTAACTCTGTTTGCTTTCTGCAAAACAAATTTTCTTCCTTGGGTAATGAAGTTTACTTTATCTTCTACTTCAAGGGTATGTTCTCTCGCTTGATTTAAACTTAGAAAAAGTAGAAATATTCTTACAGAACCAAGACATTTTTGTTTGGAGGAAATACATTTTTTAGGACTGAAATCCAACATTAGTAAACTGCAGCTAATACTGTACATGAATGTATCAGTAATAATTCCATATGACAACAGTGAACAGGGCCATTTTACTGAGGAAACTTTAGTACCTGTGATATTAATTTCTACACAAAGTAGTAAAATATAATTCTGGTCACTTGTTGTAATTCATGACTTGAAAAGTGCAAGGATCAGATACAGCACGGTAACATACAATCTGAAACTGTGTTTATATGATCACGGTAAAAGTTAAAATGTAAAAATGCGCCAGTCAGCATTATTCCACACAAAACACAAGCTTAATTTAGATCTTTACTCAATATTTAAGAAAACTATTCAAAAGCCACTTCTCCAGAGAATCTGAAGGTTTTTATTTTGAACATCTACCTTGATTAGTTTTAATTTTTTCCCTCTGTCCCTCCTTCTCTACCTCCTCTTCATCCCAGTCTCCCAGTCGCTCCCCTCTGGCCTCAGATTGCAGCAGCCGTCGCTCCTCAGTCTCCAGCACCTCCTCTTTGGGGTCCGAGGCCAAACCGGAGGGAGAACGGGTCAGACACAGAGAGGTAAAAGGGGAAAATGCTGGTAGTACAGGAGACACTCCTAACACACCCATCTCACCTCTACATCAGACGCCACAAACTAGAAAATCAAGAACTAGGAAGAGACACAATTCAGAAACTGTTCAATAATACTGATCATGCTCTTCGGCAGGTGGAGAAGCTGCTGCGTGCTGTGGCAGATGGTGATGTGGAAATGGTGAGGGCAAAGTTAAACAGCAGGGGTCAACATCCCTTTACTACCTGAACACCATGTTCTGTTGATGTCATCTGAGGGTGTGTGTGTGTGTGTGTTTCAGGTGCGTTACCTTTTGGAGTGGATGGATGAGGAAGAGGAGGATGAAGAAGAGCTCCGGCCTGAGGCACTGCTCTGCCATCCGCTTTGTCAGTGTCCAAACTGTGCCCCCACTCAGAAGGTGTGACAGCTCATCAGGCAGTAACATAATTCCTGTATACTCACAGTTGTAAGCAGTGCACAAGGGTTTAATAAACTCCATAATGCAGTTGTAAGCAGATCGAATTGTTAATTCATGTATTTGTCATGGACGACCATCAGTTCCTTCAACAGTACAATTCATCATAAAATACAATGAAATGCTTGACATGAAAGCAAAGAATTATAACATTTACAGTTCAACAAAGAAGTAAAAATAAATATAATACAATATAATGAATATAGTAAGATAAAACATTGATTATATTTTGTTATTCCTTTGTTTTTCTATAATGTATATTGAACTATTAATATTTTATTTTCACATGTAATGTGCTTATTCTGTATATGGCTGCTGTAACGGTAAAGGTTGTTATAATCCCCTATTAAACCTGCACATACTAGTTATAAATGCTTCATGTGAAACCTAAAGTAAAGCAATAACAAGCTGGACACAAAACACGCCTCCAGTCCTTATGATGTCTCTTGTTTCTTTGCATCGGCTGAACAAATCTGTCCCACTGTCCTCCTCGTGTCTTGCAGCTGTCTGTTCTGCAGGCCGGAGCTCTCGGCGTCAACAGCTGTAACGCTGAAGGCTTCTCGCCACTCCATGTCGCCGCCCTGCACGGCCATTCAGCGCTGGCTGCCCAGCTGATCCGCCACGGGGCCAACGTCAACGCCCGCACGAACCAGAACGCCACGCCGCTTCACCTGGCCACCCAGAACAGCCACATCCAGGTAGGGGTGGGGAGTGGTTAACTAAAGGAGCGATGTTTCATAGTGTCCAACTGATGCTTCTAATGTTCGTTTTGTGTCATCAGGTTGTTGTTTTTTTTGGAGTAGTGTATGCACTGCTGAGATTTGTTTTTGTTACACTTACAATTCAAACTCCCACATTAAAACTGCTAACTATTTGGATGCAAGAGAAGATGTGTATGGAAATGTTAATGCTATCTTATATCACAATATGTTACTTATATACAGTAGATTTTTCTGCAGGGAAATATATATATATTTAAGTCATGCAGCAAATTGTATCACATTGACACAAAAGTATATTCTAAAGTATATAGCATACAATTTATTTGGATAAAGAATTTCACCTCACAGTGGCCTCCTACAAGCACAAAGTTATGTTTTTAAACCTATTCTTATAATTCTAGGAAATCTTGAAGAAATGACCTGTGGAAATGTGGATGCAGGCTCAGCCTCAGTGCTTTTTATGGCAGCATGTTTCCTGAGGCAGGTCACAGTGCCGTGTTACTGTATTGTGTCACCTTAGTGATAAAAAGTGTTGGTATGTTGAAGTAGGTCAGCCCCAACTCTGATCGTTTCTCTGCAATAAGGAAGTCCGGTTCAAAGTTTTTGTTCGGTGGCACCACCGTCTGGTGAACAGTTGGCAAGTCCAAATGATGTTGTTTATAGTTAGTGGGACTATACAGATGTGTCTCAATGTGTGTTAAGTGAGTTCACACCTTTATGTAGCAGGTCTGAATGGGGTCATACACACACAGTAGTCTATTCACCACACATACCTTCTGCCCACCCTGAATACTCACTAGATCATCCAATGTGGATTACGCAGCTTCTGTATTCATGCAGCTGTTTTTCTCAAAGAGCTTTACAGAACAAGTCGGGTTCACCCATTCTCACACATTCCCACTGCACTTCTATGCACATCATCTTTTTCTGTCACAGCCGTCAGTTAATTGAGCTCAGTTTCTTATTTAATATCTTAAGAACAACATTTGATGCCGTATCAATGTAAATCTGCTTCAGGTCTCTGTTCCCCCTGCTGTGAATGATTTTGTATTCACATGATGAAGTGACTGAGTGTGTGCACATTTGCTTGTTTTGTGTCCTTGATGTGTGTAGGTGGTGAGGTTCCTGCTTGAGTGCAATGCCAAACTGAATAAAAAGGATCACTATGGTAACACACCTCTGATACTTGCCTGTCTCTGTGGAAACCTGGAGACAGTCACTACTCTATTACAGGTAAACACGCTGTTCATCACATCTGAATTCCAGAAAATATTTCTTTGACTTTGACCTTCATCATGGCTGCAACTTAATTGGGTTGGACCCATGAACGTTGTGGTAGCAATTTCAACAAGAGAGAGTGATGTAACAGCTTCTAGAGAGGACAGAAAGAGAAAGATGCCACAAAGCTTCTTCATCTCCAATGCACAAGGAAAACAATTAAGATGAGCAGAATCTTCTTAGAGCAGATCCGTCAATAAAAACGATTGTTCCCTGGCTCTGTGTACAACTGCAGGAATGAGCTGACCAATAGGCTCCTTTTATTTCATATGATTAAATGAATAATACCACGAGGAACATTAATGTTTAAATCACCTCTGTCTGAATGACGCAGCAAACAAACGGATGAAACCAGTAATCTAACATATTCCCAGCAGTGACTTTAAATAAAGATGAGCCACCTTCTCTTCCTCCCACTGTACGGAGTTAATATCAAAATGTCTCTGATGGAGGTGACAATCCATTATGCTGGTGACATAATTTGGGGCCAGTCTTTCATGTAGTAATCGTGGAGTGGAGCCTAAGTATCAATGTCCCACCCATGCATCCACTCGTCCAATTGTGAGTCAATCTCAAGCATCAGTCATGAAATTTCACCCTGTTCTTATAGCATCAAATAACTCATTAAAACCAAACTTGTCCGAAAATGAGCACTCAAACAAACATCAGCGTAGAAACTACTAGAAGAGGACGTTTCTTAGAGGTGTAAAAATGTGTTTTATTTAAAAAAAGATTTCCTTCTGTCTGTGCAGAGTAACGCCCTGGTGAACGTAGCAAACCTTCAGGGGAACACGCCTCTCCATGAGGCGGTGCGGGGCGGACACCAGGCGCTGGTGGAGCTGCTGCTGAGGAGTGGAGCCTCACCCGGCCTCAGAAACAAGAGGCAGAGGACGCCACTCGACTGCGCCTACGAACTGGGTGGAAAGGTGGTCCTGCAAACACTGAACACTACAGGGACAGGAGAGGGTGGCACATTGGGGTTGTATGTTTGGATTCAAGCAGACATCTTATATCTTTACTTTGTCTAAAAACTCTAAAAAAATCTGGATGTGAAATCAGACTAAAAACAAATATACTCACAATATATAGATTTCTGTAGTTACCTCAATTTCTCAAATGTCATGTAAATGAGAAATAGTTAACTAGATTCATGGTTAAGGGATTAGAGGACGGTGGAAGACAAATACACAATATCCATATGTATGTGTTGGACAGGTCTAGTATCCCTGCTTGACAAACAGCTCTGACAGAAAAGTATCACTTTGGCCACAGTAAGGTGGAATAAAATAAATGTCAGTAATAGCAGTGTCCAAACCATTTAAAATCAATCAAGCGTTACCAGAACTAAACACAATAGCTGAAGTGATGATCGTAACTTACTGTGCGATGTCATTAAAAGTGTCAGTAAGTGAAGCAGGATGAGAATGATTTACAGCTGTAACCCTGATTCCTCTTCTCCTCCGCAGAACACTGAGATCCTGAGAGCTCTGCAGAAAGCGTCTGGACTTTCCCCTGATGATGAACCCATCAAACTCCTCTCTGTGCCCAAAGGAGCTCTTGGTAATTGTAGGATTTTATCCTTTCCAAACTGCCACGAATCCTCTTTCATGAGAAGACAACTTTTACCTCTCAGTTCAGACTTTGGATTTTTGTGTCAGTCGTGAATCAGGATTTGATCTCTCTGTGTTGTCACCACTACAGCTCATTCATTTGTGCAGCGTCTCAGGCTGCAGGATCACTCCAATGGCAGGAGACAGAAACTGGCTCAGTCCATCAGCAGGTAGACTGCCTTGTTTATCTAAGGTTGCTTGTTTCAAAGTCGTTTTTTAAACAGTATTTAAATGTCCTTTAACTCAGGATGCAGCAGATGAAGAAAGGTTCCTCTGGTTCTCCCCCCAGGTGTTCACCAACCCTCAACCAGGTATTATACTGTGCACGTTCTCACTGTTGCACTCCTTATGTGAGCATGTTTTAGCCACAGTAAAAAGCAGGGAGGCCAAGGATACGTCATTGGTCCACCTATTAAGTCCATAGTGAAATACCTCAACAACAAATGGATAGATTTCCATGAAATGTTATACAGACATTCATGGTCTCCAGAGGAAAGCTGACATGTCATCCTCAGCTGTACACTTGTAATGAATGCTCCTCTAGATTCTTACAATGGTAACACCCAAGCCTTTTTTTAACCAAACTATTTTTACTAGCTTTCTTTCAGATTGTTGAGATTTCTCTTAATTCACTTTCTGTCTTTACAAAAAGAAGATGTAGTAAAAGTCTAATAAAATTTAACTTTTAAACTAATTGAATAAATCAATCAGATCCACCAATCTGAGATATTTGTCATATTTATAGTATTTTGAATACATCTCAGAAATCAGGAAAAACTATATGGATTTTATGTCAAATTACATGCGTGTATATTCAGAATAAAATGTAATGCATGATTATCAACAAGAGAGAAGTGAGACGTGTACAATTATTTCACAAAAAAGCAAACATGGTGGAGCATGTTCTTAGACAGTACTTTATGCCCTTACAGTGTTAGAGTTAGAGACTGTCCATCCATTATCTATACAGCTTATATGCATAATCTTTTGAGGGTCATGGGGGGACTGGAGCCGATCCCAGCTGATATTGGACGATAGGTGGGATACAGCCGCAGTGTATCACAGGGCCGATCAACCATTCACACTGACATTCACACGTCAATTTACTGTGTCCAACTAACCCCAACCCCAATCTGCATGTCTTTAGACTGTGGGCTGAAGCCAGAGTACTCGTAGCATGCACTCTATCTATATGTTATGTTTTGGATTTATATTCCATACTTATTCACAGTAACCATACGGAGATAACTACATTGCTGACTACAGCTTTATTATATCTGCTGTTTTGAATCTGTTTAGTATTTATTATTTATTCTGCCAATGTATGTAATCACAATTTGCTTTGTTTTCATACGGCTGTGCACACAGCACCTTCATCACTTGCAGTCAAATAACACACAACTCTGTTCTTTTTTTTTTGCCCTTTGGTCAGTGAGGAATGACATTTAGTTCAGCTGTATTCCAGGTATGAAGATGAATGACTGTAACAGTTTATTTACAATAACCTTATTTCTTCCCAGAAGAATCCAGACAGGAGAAGGTTGAAGCGAGGGGAGACAGTGGAGGTCAGCAGTCCCTCGGGATGCTGCGACCCCGGGCCCCGGCGGGGAGAGCGGCCCCTGGGACGCTGTCACACCCTGGATTCTGGAGAAACCACAATAAAGAGGCTGGTGTCCTTGCAATGCGATGCATCCGAATGCACTCCGACAGAGAGCGGTCAGACTGACGACACACACGTCCCCAGAACCGCTGAGGACACTCTGTCAGCAGGTGTTGACACGTCTAGAGACACAGATGAAACTCACTCCACTGACGTCTCTAGCTGTAGCACCGGTAGCGAGACCTCCCCATCCCCGCCATCCAACACATCATCACATGCAGATTATTTGTTTGAAGCCCCTCCCACACACATCCTCGCCAACCACTCCGCTTCACATGAGGAGACGCCTCACGTCAGCAGCCAAAGCCTCCAGCCTATAAATGGAACATTAGTGGAGTCATGTGACGACCAGACTCTGCCTCGCCTCGACACAGAGCCCTCGAATTCAGAAAGCAAAGATGGAAACTCAAATCCCACCCACATCGCTGACCCCCACCCCCCCATCCAACAGTCAAATGGATTCAACTGAAAGCTGGTTGGAGCTAAAAACTTTCCACAGTTTTTACTTCACAGGGACGACAAGGGATAAAGAGTCAGTTCACTCATTTTACAAAAAACCTGTGTGATCACTTACTGTACCTATAGTTGTCTTTAGTGATGCAGGTTCAGATTTCTGCCTCCACTCCAGTACAATAGAGATGAACGGAGTTAACTTGTATGACTAGAATTGGTCTCTTCTTTTCATTTGTTCAATCCAAAAACAGCACTGTGATAAAATAACACAGTGTTGCTGTGGGCGTGAGACTATGAATCATGAAGTCCTGCTAATCAGACACAACACTGCACAGAGGTTCAGAACTTTATGGACAGGTTATTAAATGTTATCACAACAGCAATTACTTCAACCCTGTCTCCACTGCAGTGCTGTCAACTGCAGGGTTACAACATCAGACATCAGGGGTAAGCACTTGCTCATTCTCAATTGTGTTGCGTTAACATGAAGAAGAAACACCCCTCACAGTAGGATCTGTGGCTTCTCCAGTGAAGTAACCACAACACTGTTTGCAGAAAGGGATGTTGTTTCTATCCACTTCCACTATACAGAGGTGGAGGCAGACATCTCAAGAGGCTGACTCAAAACGTGGATGAACCAAAAAGCTTTGGGATAACTGATCCTTTAAAGTCCCAATGAAATGAAAAAGGTCACAGAGTCCCTCCGTGTCTTTTAACAAACATCCTGTTGACTTACTTTTCTTTAATTGTAAGAAATCCACCACACAACACATATAACACGTTAAGGACCTGACGTTTTTCACATCGTTGTCTCCTGATTGTCTTTAACAATGCAAACACGGTTCTAAATGAACTGGGGTGAACACCGATTCCCTTCATTTATTTTGCCATCGCTAATGTGTGATTTAAAAGATTCTGCTAAAGTATCATTCGATTGTGACTTGAGCAGAGATATTAACAGAGCTGAGGCTTTCTCTCTCCCCCGCCCTCGTTCACGCTGAAGCAGCTCTCTATCTCCTCCTCTCCTGAGTGTGAAGCACTTTCTTCTACTTCTAGGCTAAACAAAGAGAAAAAGGGACGCAAACTGACGTTGTTTTAGTTTGATACCGTTTGAATGTTGTTGCTTGAGCTTTATGTAAAGCCATTAGAGTGAAGCTCTGATCTGAGCTTTGTTTTACTTGACTGTTAGACATTGGATAGATTACAGGGTTGTAAATTGACTTACAGTTTGTGTGGTTTTTCCCTTTTTTCCTCCCATTTAACATCATACTACTCCATGTACTGTTTCATAACTAGGATACATTTCAATTTTTATTTATGACCTGTGTTGTCAGGAGGGTGTCGTGTGTTCAGAGAGGTTCGACTTCTCCTGAACGTGAGAATGTGTTTTCTTCCTGGACATAGATAAAGTTGAAGGATCACACATCTGGCTCTGCATGTTTTTCATCCATTCATTATCATTATCATTAAGCCACTTGAGTTTGATTCTTGAAACTTGCTGCGAATAGCCAGACGCACGTTTATTGTTTTTAACTGTCACCGCATTGTAGTGTGTAGTCATTTTACATACACGGTATATTCGGTATGCTGTATGTGTATACGCATATGTCTGTTCACATTTAAACTATTATAGATTAGGTCAATAGATACATGTGGTACAGTTTAGGTAAAATATAAAAATTATAATAATGATAATAATAATAGATTATAGTTATATATCACTTTTAAAACATATGTTTAAGTTGCTGTACCTAGCGACCCAACAGTCATTTAAATTCAGTGAAGCTGCACCACACACTCTAAATTAGCTGTTTTATCAACATTCACATATTCTCTGAGAAACTGGTGAGAATGTTGAAAAAAGAACGATTAAAAAAAATCCATCCCTTTGTCTGGATCCACCCTAAAAGATCCTTGGCCCATGTCCCATCCCTCCACCAAGTTCTGTGGAAATCAGAGAAGTAAGTTTGAATGTAATCCTGCTGATTAACAAACAAACCAACAAACAGACCATGGCAAGTAACCATCACCGCTGCCTGCTCCTGACAACAAACAGAGCTGAGAAAACCTACAAATAGCAAAAAGGTGTTTTTATAATCCTCATTCAACTTGATGAATAGAATCTGAACCCCTTGCTTCTACTACTTCTCTTTATTGCAGGTCCGTGCAGGAAAATGTTAAAAAGATTTTCATCTACGATTGTGAAGTTTTCCTATCTGATGTGTAACAAGTAACAAGACTGCAGAGGTTGCGATGGGCAAACACAAGTGTTTGGGGGAAAACAAAACGTCACTTGTTAGACCTCAGTAAATTGGCAGCTATGATGTGTACATATAGCAGCTTTATCCACTTAATAACTGCTCATTCTACTTCATCAAGACTGGGTGTAATTTAAAAGTTCTGATTGAAATTTTTATGCCTTTTAATTTGATGAGTAATAAAGTGACTGATTTGTTATGTTAATGTACAAAATTCTGTTGTCAATCGGCAAATTGTAGTAAATAACTGAGAAAAGTTAAGGTTTACATTTGCTGTTTGTTCAGCTATGTATGTTCGTGTAACATTTTATATTTCATGATATAATACTGGTAAAAACAAGCCCTTCTCTGTATTTATTCAGTATTGATGCTTTCACACATCTCAAGCATGTTTCAAGTCACTGCAGCTTGAATGTACAATACACGGGAATGACATTAAACCAATGACTGCCCCCGAGTAGACGAAACCAACAACAGATGGTATGAGTTTGAAAAGTAACCAGCGGTGAAGTGAATTAATGAGCCAATAAAACGTCCGACAACACAAGTATACATATACATATGATAACCATTTCAAAACAACTGCATTACAGTATAATGAAGTCACAGGGTGAATAACTGCCCCCTCAGTGTGACTGGTCACATTGATATCCACTTCACACACTTCGTTTATCTGTACGTATCGAACAGTTTGAGTGAGGGTGATGCTCACTGCTGTTTACATGGTGCTCTCCCTCTGTCTGTGTTTAGCCTGTCACACACATACACACAACGGTTTTTTTTCTAATTTCAAACCAAGCGATGAGTCTTAATCATTTTTGTTTGTGTTTTTATTTTTAGGTTTGGATGTTTAAAGATGATGTGAATGTGCCTTATTTAATTCACTCCCAAATAACCAATAATAAACCTATGACTGAACTTTGATTTAGACGTTTTCTGTTTTTTCTGTTTAATTTTTTACTAAAAACTTACAAGTACATTTGATTATTGTTTTGGAACCATATCTTTTATGGTTAAATACCTGGAGCACTGATATTTAAGTCTTTTTCATTTTCTCTGTATTTTGGAGAGTTTTAACTCATTCAAATCAATAATTAAATATCTTGCAAAAGTTCCCATCAAGTCAAGTCACATCTTGTTTTCTTGTGATACTAAACACTGTGACTTCGCACTGAGCTGTGTGGGTGCAGCATTTCTCTAAATTTACTCATTTAATATGAAATTGAGCAGATTTTCTTTTATATTTCATTCGAGAATCCGTTTCTCCTTCAGGTCGCTTTTGAACATATGATCACATGAACTGCATTTTCTTCTCAGCACATCAAGAACTTCAAACCACATGTGGCTTCTTCTGAAGTTTCAACAGATTTTCAACATTCAAATTCTTTGGGGGTAGTTTTGCCTCACTCTTGTTGAGGGTTAGGGGCAGAGGATGTGGAACAGTGTCAAACCCAATGAGACAAACTGTGAGTATGGGCTATACAAATACAATTTGATAGATTGATTCTCATCTGTGTTGGTTCAGTCTCGACTTTGGAAAAAGTTGGGGAAATAGACACAGTGAAGGGCTGTACAAATAAAGAGTGAGATCTTATTAACGCAGATGTTGAATCAAGAGAGTCCTGACTGGTCTGTAGCCTATAGCATCAAACTGTTGATATTATTAACAGTAAAGTTCATTAGTTCATATAAGAGTCATTTCTAGATTAAACCTGCCAGTAGCTGATTTATTGGGGGAATAATAATAATAATAATCTCCTGACTGAATACATTTTAGAATTACTGAATTACATATTTAGAGTATTCAATAAGTCATTGTAAAGATTTAAGTTTTATGTCAGAGGGTTAATCGACAAGAGTGCCCAATTACCACAGGGATTAAAAAATCCAGTCCTACTGACACACATAGAGATAAGTATTTCACAGAAGTACAGGAGGGAAATGTCTTCAAATTCAATACAAAAAGTACATTTAGCTTGGGCAGTACTGAACCCAAACTACCTACTGTAAAGTACCTACAACAGTACTAATACTGCTGAAACACCAATGACTGAATGTAGGAAAGGTCATTTGTCAGACATCCTACTACAGAATAAGGTTGTTTTAAATAATGGATTTTTAATCCAGGGCTTTTAGTTGTAATGGAATATTTTGCCACTGTGGCATTGGCACTTTTACTCCCGTGAAGGATCTGGGTTTTTATTTGAGCAGCGTTGACTCTGGATGAAGATAAGAGGTCTGGTTGTTGATGACAGAAAATGGGGCCTAGCTATTAAAGGCTGAGAAGCTTTTATTAGAAGTGCTGGTGATCTGAACCCTGGAGGAAACACTTCCTCCAAAAACAAACGGGACGGAAATGAAATGATATGAAATAAAATAATAAATATCAGATGAGAATTGAAAAATGTTAAATATCTTTCTAAAGTGCGTTAAATTAAGATCACAATGAAATAAAAGAACAACCCGTTACTTCTCCCCTCCCTTGGCGGAAGAAGAACCGCGGCTACCCCGCCTCTGATTGGCTAACCCTGAGATTCCTTTCCTTTAGCGTAGCCAATCGTCGCGCTTCTCTATTGACCCTAGGCCAATCATCGTCAGGGCAGGGGCGGTTGTTCCTGGGGAGAAGCGGCTCGTAGAACAGCGATCATTATTTACTTGTCAACCTTTTAAAAACGACAAAAAGTTCAGATGCTGCTGCTCGAGGCCGCAACGTGAGGGGCTTTCTATCGCCAGCTGGACAATGACACGACCTGCGGCGGGCACCGCGGCTGCTGTGTGTGGTTCCATCGCCAGGTGAGGACATTTAAAAGCATCCACAGCCTCGGAGCTAACGACGTGACAGCTGGACATGCTAGCTGTGGGGGCGGGTTAGCTTCTTGACTGGCTCTCATGGAATCGTGTGTCTTTCTTGTGCCTCTGGAGTCGTAATGTAAAGAGACCTGCTTTCATTCAGGGACGCGGTTTGTCTCTGGGAATGTGTCTCATGCATTCAGCTGCCTGCTGTGTTATGCTAACGATGCTTATGACTGAGTAACTGGTACTCCTCGAGTATTTCTACATCAGCTGTATTTGTCGTGTGTGTGTTAAATGGGCTGATTGTACTTCAACAGTGAAAACACACTACAACATATGCAAAGGAAATAAACACAAGTACTAGGTGCCGAAAGAGTGAAAGTGTAGAAGACAGTAGTGCAACAGGACATCGAGCTGAGGGAGGGTGGACAGTAACATCTGACATCTGCAGATGGAGGACAATAGTGCAATGGTGCGGATGCTTGAACCAATATTGATTGTAATGTAAGATGGATTCTATTTGCAGGCAAGTCAACATATACATCTGTTTCATGTATATAATCTAATCATAAGCCATATTCCAAAAAAAGGCTGCGGTCCATATTGTGTATTGCACAATTACACAATTTTTAACTTTAAGTTGCACATTTATAAAACCAGCTTTGTGTCCGTTCTACTTTTTATTGTATATAGTATTTCTGTTTCTGTCATTTTTTTTTCCAGGTTCTTGTTTCTTTTTTTATTTGTATTTCTTCCCACATTCTTCCCCTTTTCTCAATTTCGCTGCTACTTCCTTGTGCGGAGCTACAGTTACTGGTTACTTTCCAGTGGTGCTAAAGGATGATCGGTACATTAATAACAGAGAATGATCATTTTCATATTTAAATAACCATTTAAGGAGTTTTCAAGCTAAAGAACTGAACAGATGATGGTTCCTGGGTCTGAACCACCTGGTAACCACCTGGTAACCCTTCTCGTAAAGAATAGAAACATGATATCCTTCTCGTCTAATCTCTGTATTTATCGTAAAATTTGTGTTTGCTTTGATACTGATATTTAAATGAAACTTTGTGAATGGATAAGACATATGCACAGTTAAATGACAAGGGCCCCAAATAAATACTGCTCTCTGTTTGGAGTCCCAAGTAAAAAAAGTTTAAAAACACATGTTTAATGATTTACAGTGCTTTGCATTGTATACGTTTATTTGTGTATGTAAGATTTTTACTTAAAAGGTACATAGAAATTTTTTTTTCAAGTAATCTTAGTAAAGGGTATGCATTTTTCCCTTTTGAATTGTGGTAGAGTAGAAGTATTAAATAGCATCAAATGAAAATTATACCTATGTACAATACTAGAGTAAAGGCATTGTCTACCACAGCTTCTTTGGATTTAGTAGGTAGGTTCAAAATCTGTAGTCTATCAGTGTACAATCTCACTTCTCTGTTTCCATCATTAACAAACTGGAAAGGTTTCAAAATCTTATTGAGCAACAGTACAACTTTTATTCTGCTCTCTACAGCGATGTGACCCAGAGTGAAAGTAGCCTGTGACTCCATGGAGCGAAGGGAAGACGAGATAATGTCATAAAGTAGAATCACTTTGAAGTAAGTTTGTATCATCCTGAGTCTTCACTCAAGCGGGCTTTCTCTTTCACAGTAAACTACGTCTGCAGCAATCTACAGTGGATCTGCAATAACTAGCTCCGTCAAGGAGGTTACGTTTCCATTGCTGTTTGTCTGCTTGTTAGCAGGATTACGCGAAAACTACTCAACTGATTGTTTTGAAACTTGGTGGAAGGATGGGATACGGACCAAGGAAGAACTCCAGACAAATGAGCGCATGCAGAAATCTTTTATCGCTTTAACATTGCAAGATATAGTGTTTTTGACACTTTCACTGTATTCACTGGGACTAATTCATGGATGTTGATTAAATCAAGTCACACATATTTCGGGGAATGATACATATGAGTGTGCACAAATCTGGTGTGGCTTGATTGAATTGAGGACTTTTAGGCCTTGGCAGAGGTGTGCGCTCTATTGAGTGCCATTTCAGTTAGCTAATTGATTGCTCAGTTAATCAACAGAAAATTATTTTCTTGAAGCAAAAGCTCATGTTCCAGCTTCACACATTGTTGGTAGGATAAAATAAGACATTTCTGGGTGTCATTTTGTGACACGTAAGCAAAACAATTGAAGAAAACAATAGGCACCTTCAATAAATGGGTGAAAACAGTTAGTGGCAGCTCTAACCTGCAACAAACATGCATCCATGTTCATGATTGTCTCCTTTGCTGCTGTTTAAATTCCTCTCTCGTCATGGAAAAGTAAACACTTTTAAAGTAACTGAGTAATTTGAATGGCATTATACATTATTATAAATGACTTACCTGTACAATAAACGTCTGACAAGCATCAATTGAACTGCTGTGGATAAACTTTACTTCAGCAACCGATGAATAAAACCAATGACAGGGTAGCAAATTAAAAAAGTTTGGGTTTGGCCAAAATGTTGATTCATAGCTGAAAGCTGAAATCAACATTTGTCTTCTGTTACTCCCAGCAGGGCAGAATGTCCTCAAGCCACCGTCTAAGGGACATGGAGCAACAGCGCCCCCTGCTGGACAGGGAGGATGAGGAGGTGGTGGAGAGGAGTTTCCAAAGTGAGGTTAAGCAGGTCTGGTTCATCCAGGACTGCTGCGGCATGGTGTGTGCCTTCATCACCTGGTTCCTGGTCTTCTTCGCTGACTTTGTGGTCACCTTCGTTATGCTGCTTCCCTCCAGGAGCTTCTGGTACGCTGTGATCAACGGGGTGGTCTTCAACAGCCTGGCCGTGCTGGCGTTGGCCTCCCACCTGCGCACCATGCTGACTGACCCAGTGAGGAGCCTGAGGTTTCTTTTTGTTAGACAGAGAAATTAGATGAATTTTGTTGCAATTAAAGTGTGATATGTTTACCATCTCCTCTGTTGATCCTCTGTTTCCACCCTCCGCTCCTCAGGGAGCTGTTCCAAAAGGAAACGCCACCAAGAAATACTTGGAGAGTCTGCAGCTAAAGCCAGGGAAGGTCATCTACAAATGTCCAAAATGCTGCAGCATCAAACCTGAGAGGGCTCATCACTGCAGGTAGTGACCCGGAGTCCCTCTGCCGTGCTTAAATGTGCACAAATGTCTTTTTTTATCGCTTTTAAAACATAATGTTTTAAAATAACCACAAACAGACAACAACCAACCCCAAAGATGGAACACATGGTCTAATAATCTGCCCCTGCATAACGAATAGTTAATTTACATTTTTGTTAAATTGACATGTCCATGAACTCACCAGCTGTCTGCGACAGATTTGTCTTGCATTTCTTTAACAAAGAAGTCTTGGAATGTTTTTTCTTACCTGCTGACGACTGTAACGGTTGTCTGTCGCAGACAGCTGGTGAGTTCATGGACACGTCAATTTAACAAAAAAGTAAATTAACTATTCGTTATGCAGGGGCAGATTATTAGACCATCTTTGGGGTTGTTTTTTTGTCTGAGCACACAAACTAAGTGATGTTGTCATGCTCTTCTCCTATAGTATCTGTGAGCGCTGCATCCGTAAGATGGACCATCACTGTCCCTGGGTCAACAACTGTGTCGGAGAGAAAAACCAGCGCTTCTTCGTCCTCTTCACTGTTAAGTTCAATTTCAAATCCAGGTTATTTGACCTTCTTTTGCAGACACTTCTAGAAAACCAGGAAAGTGTATGTTATGGAAAAGCACTTACATTTTAGTAACGTAAAACAGCACATTTCAAGAGGACCGAAGGCACCTTTTTACCTCAGGTGTTCATATTTTCAGTGAGGTCAGCAGTTGGAAAGGAACTAAGACAGCAGCTCTTTGACCAAGAGTGGATCAGGGGAAGAGAATTAGCAGAGAGTACATTTTAGAGGGAGTAGATATTGGTGATGATTCTAAAAATGAAAATGAAAACACGGATGTTTTTTTTTTTTCAGTCTGAATGTTTTATTATCTTTTTCTGTTTATGTTCAGTCTCCTGAATTGCTGACCTAAACTCTCTGAGACCAGTGACTCCTCTCTGATGGATTACAGAAGTGATGTCGGTGACAGATTTGTGTGTAGACACAGAGTAGACTGTGTTTTTAGTGCTAGCATTTGTATGAATACAAATATTTAGAGCTTAGATGTTTAGTAAGATTCGGACTAGTTTAAAATGCTGCTGAGGATGATGCTGTGAGGCTATCTGGAAATAATATAGAGCGAGCAGTTGATTTATTGATTATTCAACCGATAGAAAAACTGCTGCTTTTAGTCTTTTGTTATAGTTAATTCAATGTTGTTCGGATTATTGGTTCAGTCAAACAGCAGATTTGATTACATGCTTTTCTACTTTGAAAGTTTTCACTTGTAGCCGGCATTTTTATCGACCAAATAATTGATTCATTTAATCAGGCTCTGATAACCACCTTGCTTGCTTGGCCCTTGTCAGCTTGCTCCAAGTTAATACGCTGTTTTACTCAGAGGTCAGCACCATGAGACAGTTTGCTGGTGAAATGCACAAATGTGGGTTTATAGTTCAGCAAATTTGAACTCCAGGAACAACACTCCACATTCATTGATTTTGCTGCCGTGAGCAAATGTACTGATGGTGGTGATCATACTGAAAAGGGTGAATATGGTGCAAAATGTTCTAGGTGATAGATGCAGCTTTGCAGCGTCGCCCTCAGATTTGGCAGACCTCCATGATCCACGAAATAAATCCATCCAGAGTAGTTCTCATGTGTTTGAGTATAATTTTTTGAATTGAGCAGGTTACTTCAAAATTGTCTTTACATCTAAGCCTTCTGTCAAATATTTTGCCTAATGTAATCAAGGCTCAATGTGATGAAAAATACTTTGAGGGGTCTGTCACACTCCGAGATGAGGGAAGACGTCTGATACATTTTCTTCTCACCGCAGATGTACATCGCTGTGATCTCCGGCCACGCTCTGGCTCTCTGTGGATACCACTTCATCACGTGCATCAGAGTCCAGTGGAGAGGTTACCAGCCTTATTTCTTCCTCAGTGTGGTTTTCCTGTCTGATTTGAGGCTCAAATGAAAACAGAGTCTTAATGCTGCACAGACTATATAATGAACATGATGTGACCCAGCTAATGAGGAGTCTGTCAGGAGAGCTGTCACAGCAGCCTGCTGTAGTTTAAAGTACAACACTTTTGTTTGGTCTTTGCCAGAGTGCAGCGATTTCTCACCTCCAGCGACGATGATGCTGATGATCTTCCTCTGCATGGAAGGCCTCCTCTTCCTCACCTTCACAGCCGTCATGTTCTGCACTCAGCTCCACTCCATCTGCAACGATGAGACGGTGAGGACTCATGTCTTACATTGAGCCTCGAACCTTGTTCAGATGTGGTATTAACATGTGCCGACAGCTCTGAGCCGGAAATAAAAGATGCCTTTCTCCATTATGTCTGGAAAGTTAAACCTCAAATAGGGTCAGGGTTAGAGATATTATTAAAGCGCCGACCATCTTGGGCATTTTGGATGAACTGGAACCCAATTGTTGTATTGCTCTGATTTCTTCTTTTAATTCCAGGCCACAGGATGCCTTCTGCTGGTTTAAAACAAAATTACAATCATATTTTGAAAAGAGAAGACGTGTTTATTTGCAGATAGTGCTGGGAAGTGAGATCCAATCACAGGTGGTCACAGACGACACACTCCAGGTGTGAAAGGTCCTCAGATTAAATCAATTATATATGTTCATGAATATACGTGAAGGTGATTGGATCATATTGTGTTCATAATTGAACTCTTTCTTTTATCCATGGTATTTTTTCATATGTTACTCAGAATCATACTTTTGTCTTCATTAAAACTTAGATAGCAGGTATAGCTCTTTGCTATGAAGATTCTTACTAATTTTCCAAGGGATGTGGGTTTATTCCTTTTTTCTCTGATTACCTTCTCACAGCTCATGTAGAGTAACCCACCGATGTGTAATCTGTAATCATAGTGAATTAAATTCTGTATGTAATTAGCTTGTCTGTCTTTATCTGTTAGGAGATTGAGCGTTTGAGGAACGAGAAGCCAACATGGGAGCGTCGGACTCGCTGGGCAGGCCTGAGGTCAGTGTTTGGAGGTCAGCCCTCTCTGCTGTGGATGAGCCCCTTCGCTGGACTCAGACTATCAACCTTTCTACCTAGGCGCACCTGGAGGGGTGGGGCAGAGTTCTCAGTCTGATGCAACGTTATTCAAACACCCCACAGACGTTGTACCTCCTTGTGGTGGTGGTGAACCGAACCAAACCACTACAGTCAAGGCCCTGCAGAAAGTCCAGCTGGGTTTGTGGAGCACTCCACTCCTCTGTGTTGTCTCTCGAACTGGAAGCTGTTTCTGAGCCAGAGGGAACTGGTTCTGTGTCTCTAAGCAAGATGCCGAGTCTCCATATTGCTTGTCTGAGTTTTCTGACCCTGTGAAAAGAAAAGGGGGGGGACATTATCTCAGCGAGGAGCAAAAATATCTCTTCGCCCACTCAGAGGCTAACGATGCAGAATATGTGGATAATCTTTATTTGTTCCACATGAATCATTCAAGCTAATGTGACTGATTCAAAGTTGGAATCTAAATGTTTTTAAATTCGCTTGAATCATAGAATTTGTTTTGTCCAACTGTTTGGAACCACTCCTCTAAAGCATGTTTTTGTGTGTATGTAATAGTTGAACTGCACTCTGTGAAAAGCTGAAAGCCACAATATGATGAAATGTAAAAAGCATGACAAATCTAATGAAAACACCATTTTAATAGTTGCAGGAAATAAATCATAAATCATTTTTTTCTCATCTTAATGAATATCGTTGTTAAATAAATAAAGTTGTTGGTACTGTGGGATTTTTAATGGGACATTTTTTAGTCCTGCTTCCTTTTGTTCCAAGTCAGACTCATCAAACCTTCAAGGCTCTGTGAAATGAGAAATACATGGTCCCAGATCTTATCCTGTGTGTCTCTGTTTAGATCCTTGGAGATGATTCGATCCATGATTCGACTGTGCTTGTTATTACTTCTTGTTTCTTGTGTCTTGTTAGAATCCCTTTCCAGTATTCTGACTTATCAACATCACCAGTTGTGATTGGCCCTTACTTCATAGAGTCATTTCTCTCTATCAGTGCTGACTCCACCTGTGAAGGCAGCCCAGTTTTCCCACTGATGAAGACAGCATTCTGGTCCCAGTTAATGATTTCTAAACACACTCCCTCACTGTTTCCACACGTTTCAATGAGAGAAGTCTCCAGTTTTTCAGACATGTGGTCGAGGATTCCCTACGTGGTTTTTATTCTTGTGTTGTGGACTCCAGTTCGCGGTGGGCCCATGACAAAGCCAAACCCCAACATAACAGACCAGGAGCTGTTCTGGGGCGCCGACCAGTACGACTTCTCTGTGGTGCTCCCTGCTGCTGGGTTGCAGTGTTTCTGGCACTTTGCTCACCATGGAGAAAGATTCTACCTCAGCTTCATGGTGAGATGAAAGGCAGAGGCCTCCACATGTTTTTCTCTTCAACATGAAGATTGTAATATAGAATGTTTTTATATACCATACAATACCTGTGATTTTTATATAGAACATAACATTTTTACATATAGTCATTTTGTATTTATATTTAGTGTGTAAAGTGTATGATGTATATGCAGTATTAGTTAAGTAGTAGTAAGTAATTTTTCAGACTTGTTATGTAGTATTCTGTATGTATATTCACATGTAGTGATTGATTTTACACACAGTAAAGTCATATATATATGTGATATGTAGAATTAGATGTTAAGCTCTCGTATAAAATCCAATCCTGCATAGCAGAAATTGTATATGTTAATATATGTCATATATACATAGGATACATGAAAGGAATTTTCATGCGGTAAAGGAAGTCTGCAGATAAATACAAATTCTCTACCACAAAATGGTGCAAGTGCTGTCAAGGTCTGTTTATGTCGCCAACATTGTAATGTCTTACTACTGTCTGTGTTCTAAAGTCATGAATTTCACCGATTACCAAAAATGCACTTGCATTTCAGACATAATAATGTGGTGTAAACATAAAAACACATGCTCATCACATTTACATTTTCTCAGGGTAGTTATGGAGATAATATAGATACTGTATCTTGCTCTGGAATATCAAACTGTGGCACGTTACTGTGACAGAATGGCACTTAGTCATCATCAAACCTTGTCTGGTCTTCAGTACATGAACGTTGTCTCTCTGCTCCTCTTGGCTGTTTGATTTTCTACATGTCTTCTTTCTGTTTTGTGTCTTTAGGTCCAGTGGGTGACGGGAGTCGGCCATGACAGACACCTGTCAGTCACAGTCAACGCTCCTGGTGGTCTGTTAGTGTCAAATATCGATGATGCGAAGGGTCAGATTAACTTCAAGACTGAGGAAACAGGTCTGTCTGTCCATCAGTGCATCAGTCTGTCTCACTGTCCGTCGAATTGAATTTATGTTCATAAAAAATATTGTACTGGTGAGCCCCACATTGGCAGAGGACTTATACATTTACACAGCTCTTTTCCAGACTTAAAGGTCCAGCGTGTAAGATTTAGGTGAAAGGGATCTATTGGTAGAAATTGAATGTAGAATAATCCTCATGATGTTTTCACTAGTTCGTTTCATCTGAATTGTATGAATTGTAGTTTTCTTTACCCCAGAAAAGGCCCTTTATATTTAAATACATTATATTTACATCGAGGGGGTCCTCTCTACAGAGGCCACCATGTTTTCTACATTAGTTCAGACTAAACAAACTGAACACGGTTTGAGGTTTTATGACAATTAAAAGCTACCACAGGTTCTTTTTCATGTTTGGAAGGAGAGGGTGAGGTGAGGGGTGTTCACAAAATTCTACACACTGTACCTTTAATGACCATTCAAAGCTCTTTACACCACAAGTTGCATTCAACCATTCACGCACATTCATTCACTTCTTCTATATGCAGCAGTTTGAAGCCAATCCCAGGTGATATAAAGCAAGAGGCAGGGTATACCCCACAACTTTATTGTCATTAACTCATGCACTGGTAACATACAGAGATAAACCATTCACTCTCACATTCACACTTACGGCCAATTTACATTCTCCACTTAACCTAACCCCAACCTGCATGTCTTTGGACTGTGGGAGGAAACCCACACAGACAGCAGATACAGGGAGGACATGCAAACTCCACACAGAAAGGTCCTGGCCTGGCTGGGATTCAATCTGAGAACCTTCTGTCTGTGAGGCAACCACTGCACCACCTATTCTATCGTGATTAGTTTTACTAAGTGTGCCCTATAACCTCAAAAAATTAATCTAATCAAATTAAAATTGATTGTCATAATCTTATTCCATCTCAAAATATGACTCTTTACTCGCTCATATGTAGTACGCGGTGTACACAGTGTATTCACTGGAGTAGTGTGTGAATAATTTATATACAGCAAAACTTTTATACTGTGTGTACTTACAGTATATTGTCACTTCTGTGTCCATCCAGGTTTCTATCAAATGTGTTTCAGCAACTTCCACAATCGCTTCGGCACCATGCAGGTCTTCCTCAGCTTTGGTGTTTACTACAACGACCACCAGGACCCTGCCAAGAGCAGAGAAGAGGAAAAGAAGGAGACAGAAGAAGTCAGCAAGGACCTGAACAACACACTGAGCATCATAGAGGTAACACAGAGCTGTCATAGTAGTAATGGTAATGGTAGTAGTGCCACCCAGGGGTGTCATAGTCAGGAGAATAGTAATAGACCAGTAGAAGTGAATGTGGTAATAAAGGCAGTAGTAACATTAGTGTTTGTAAGAAGTTTCTGGTACTTTTATTTGGATCTGTGTGTTGCTGCTGTTGCAGGATGCGTCTCACAAATTGGAGAACCACGTCTTCCACATGTTCCGCTACTACAGCTTTGGCCGCATGCGGAAGAGCGCCGACTACTTCCTGCTGCTGTCCAACTCACAGTACATCACCTGGTGGTCGACAGCCCTCAGCCTCCTCATCATCACCTCTGGGTATCTGCAGCTCCTCTTCCTCAAAAGACTCTTTGTCAGCAAGACCGAGGTCGAGAAGCCGCGCTGCTGACACGCTCCCCGTCATAGTTCACAGTCACGGCAGAAATACATGGTGGACCCGGATCCACCAATTCAACTACAAGGCTGTGGAAGCCATTTTTCTTTCTAGTATTGTATTTTTCTATAATGAAACATTTAGATAATAACATGAACAGTTTGAGATGTTTTCCTCAGGCCACTAAAACCACCAGCAGGTGTAATCTAATCCAAGCAGCTCATTCCAATGTTTCTACACTAGAATCAGTTCATTAATAAGACGCATTAAAAGATTTGATCTAAAACATGACTGAATGCTTCATTCCTGGTTTTGAGAACCAGAAGAATTACAAACTATTTGTAATTCTTGATTTTTGCAGGTGTCTATATGGTTTTTGGCTTGTTCCCTTTGCTTTGGTGTGTCATTGTTTTTCTGTGCATGTAAAAAGTCTCATAACTTACTGAGAGCAAAGTAAAAAGGGAGAAAACTCTGCCTTGAAATGCCTTGTTCTGCATTCTGACTCTGGGTAAATGGCATGGCATTTTCTACACACACAGCATGCTGGGTAAAGGTATCATTGAACAATCCATTTTGGTTTGTTGAAAAAGATTAAATTCAAATCGGGTTATTGCAAAGTCCTCTTTTCATTTTCTGTTGTATGTAAATGCTTGAAAAAAGGCAGAAATGTGACCTGGAAGTGAAAGTAAATGTTTCAAAACCGGAGCAAAGAGAATTGAATGGAAGGGTTAGGTACATATATA